GTGCAGGGTCTGCTGGCTGGGTGCTGGCAGGCTTGCACCTGGCACGGGCATCGTAGCCAGCCCGTGCCCCTTTAAGGAGTCCGGGGCCGGGAGGGGGGCAATAGAGTTTCCCTGGTGTTGGCCAGAGTGGCCACCAGGGAAAGCTGGGGAGGGCTAGCCTCCCACTAGTTCGAATTAAGGGGCCACATACCCCTTAATTCGAACTAGTAAGTTCGAACTAAGCTTAGTCCTCGTAGAATGAGGTTTACCTAGTTCAAACTAAGTGCTCCGCTAGTTTGAATTAAGTTCGAACTAGCGGAGCGCTATTGTAGCGCCTATCAAAGTTAATTCGAACTAACATCCGTTAGTTCGAATTAACTTTGTAGTGTAGACATACCCCCAGTGCTGTGATATAAGAAAAAGGGCTAATGCAGTCCTTGGGAAGTAGTGAGTAGGAGCAGGGTGGTGATTTTATCTCTGTGCATGGAATTGTGAATCTGATACTAAAATAGTGCTTGCCATTGTGATGACCACATTAAAAAAAAATTATGACAAATTAGAGAGGGTGGAAAAGCCACACAAATAACTTCAGGGTTGGAGAAAATGCCATATAATGAAAGCTTAAAAGACCTTAATGTGTTGAGTTTTTCAAAGGAAAGATGGAGAGGTGACTTGATTACAGTATTTAAGTACCACCGTGGGGGTAAAAGTCCTGACTACAAAAGGGCTCTTTAACATAGAGGAGAAAGCCATAACAAGAAAGTGCTACATAGTTTTCCCTTTTTTTTATAACAAGAACTGATGATCAGAAATGAAGCTGCTCAAATTCAAATTAGGAACGTGGCATAAATTTTGTAATGTTGAGATGGTTAATCACTGAAACAAACTAGCATCTTTGGCTGTTTTACAGTCAAGACTGAATACCTTTCTGGACGTTCATTTTTACCCAAACACAAGTTACGGGGCTCAATACAGGGTAATTGGGTGAAGTGTTATGGCTTGTGATGTACAGGAGATCAGACTAGATGATCTAATTGTCTGTTTTGGTTTTAAACTCTATGAATCTATAGGGGAATAGAATCCAGATCTCTCTCTCTCAAATGCGTTGATTCTGCAAGGTTAACAGGAGTAAAAGAAACAAAATCTTTTTTCTTTCTTTCATTGAGATCAGCCAATATGATCCTGAATACACACACGGAATACACGCAAGGTTGACATGAGTAAGTCGGTGCACTTTCTATAACCCTTTGTAGTGTATAATAAGACTTTAACAACATCTTTCCAATTACTTCCATTTTTTTCTTCTAATTAATCCAGTAAACATTTCCTCTTTTGGATAACACAGCTAAACTAAACAAAAACATACTCAATCATTTTCAGGACCCCTCTTCCCTTCAAAAGACAGCCGAAGACAAATACATCAATGCAGAGAGTAGTAGTAAAGGGTATGTTTTTAATAGGATTTTAATATACAGCTTAAATGTATATTTATTCTTCTAGTCAGTGCATTACAGTAATAAATATGAGAGATCATTTATGAATCAACAGTGTTAAATATTAGTTACATGAAGTGATAAATCCTGGTCTTTTTAGGAATTCACCAAAACCCATTGAAGTCAATGAAAGTCTTTCCATTGACTTCAATAGGCTTTGAGAATCAGTCCCTTAATCTTGTTAAAATTCATTTGATATTCAACAAACTTTCTATGCAACATTATGCCATAGCTATAATTTGTTATCATCGTTATGCAAAAGTTCAGGACCAAACCTGCTCCTAATGAACTCTTAACGGTAAAACTTCCTTAGACATGAGAGAGAGCAGAATTGGGCTGTACATTTTTACTTGGGCTTATACAAATATTGACAAAAGACTAAAATACAATATTCAAAAAACTAAAGTGGTTCCCATGAAGCTTACAGGAAAATACAGCACTAAATCAATGAAGTGAAAAGGCTTTTTTCTCCCCAAAAATAAAGCCATTCTTGATAGATGTGGTAAACATTAAACAAAAAGACAAACGAACTGGCACAGTTTAACAACCTCTTTTCTAAGTGTGCTTTATAATAATGCTCTTCAAATACGGCTGTTTTTCCAGAACATACTGACAAAAAAACCTCATTTAACATCACTGTTTTACAGTGACAAGTTTTATTGCATTGCCAACTGTGAGTTTAAAGAAAAAGCTCTAGCAAGGAACCCAAATCACCACCACCACTTTTTTTGTGTTTGTGTGTTATCATCCAACAGCACTTTCACGCACTGGTGAATATGCACTAGTTTAAAAAAAATATAATTAAAGAAAAGTGATTTGTTTTGTTTCAAAAATAATATAAAGAACCATTTCAGAATCAGGTTCAATGATGAGAGATATGTTTATCATGAAAGATGGAGCCCAGCCATGCAAACATTCTTGAGAGCAATCTCAATTACATAACTGGGCCTGCTCATGTGAGCAGTAATTTACATGTGTGATTACGGATTGGCAGGATCAAGCTCTTAGCTTTGCCCCGCCCAAACGTTTTCACAATTGTCCTAAGCTAAAAAAGCATAGATTATAGTACTAATATATACAAAAATCAGCTGTTCTCTTATAGCTTTAACCTATTATTGCTAGACCAAAAGTAAAAATTTATAATAATTTATAGAGGATAAAACTGAGATGCAGCTTCAGATGACTGAATTTCCACCTGAGCCATTTTAAACTGGGTACATTGGAGCCATTTGCGGAGTACGGATGAGCTGTTGTTCATTTGTCCTGAACCCTGTAATCTCCTTAGGCTCTGGTGGTTCACGTTATTCTGAATGGCTTGAAGGCGTAGTTGGAGTCCAGCAGATAAATGCTATAAAAAACAGCAGAAAGTTGCGTTTCTCTCTTTTATTCAATACATACATTACACTAGGATTATGTAAGACTTTTTCCCCAGGCACTAATTTTGGGAGGAAGGATTTCTCTGCATATTCCCTCCCTCTCCTCCCCAGGTATCATTCTACCTCATCTCCAACTACTGACAAAGATGTTGCTGCAAAGGGCATGGATTTCAGGCCACCATCCCCAAAATCACTTATGTTCTCAACAGCAACTTCATAGTGGAGCTTTGTGCACAGCCTTTGTTCCCATCCACTCTTGACTGACAGGACTCCTTAGTATGCCTCAGACTCATTTTTGTCACAAACAGAGCCACTTAGAACTTCTATCAGATGACCAGCAGACCACAACAGGTCCACCTCAGGTGCTGTAGAACTGAAAGCCACTCCCTGAATCACAGGTTCTCAACCTGTGGATCAATGTCAGGGGGCATGGTTAAAAAGTTCCCATCTAGATGGAAATTATAGATGAGGCAGTGTCTCCGTATTGAAATGAGAACTACTGTCCTAAATGATGCCTTTGCCCACTCAAATTTGGCATATTCAGTGCTGAGCCATGGCATGTGCCCAAATACCAAGCAGTCTGCATGTTATAACGAGATGTATGTTGAATAAAAGTTTTTATCATGCACTGTCAGACAGTTGGGAGCCTGAGGCCAATAGCTTTATTTCTAGAGTACATTCAGACAAAGCACAGAATAGAAATAACAATAACCATAAAAGAACAAGAAAAAATAATTTACCTTTAGGTTTGACTGTATCATTGGCAGCCACATGGGTATTAGCTGTACGAGGAGACAACAAATGTTTTGTTAGTATACTATATGAACCTATAAATCTGTTCCAGTTACAGTGAGTCAGAGCAGGGTATGTCTAACTCATTTAGCCATTTGAAGTGATGGTGACATATGCTGAAAGACTCATCCATAAATATGGAAATGTCTTTATAAAAGATGGGCATGCTGGACACATGGCACTCCAAGGTTAAGAAGCCAGCTTTGATCTTTTGTATCCCATTTTACAATAAGAAGCAATTACAGGTACTATTTTGCAGCAATGTCAATAGTTTAAAATAAAAATCCATTAAAAGGAATTCTTCGTTATATTTCCCTGGAGGATTTTTCTGAACAGTATTGGAATGAGTGCATTCTAGGCACTGCACAACATGGTGCATACTGCTGCATATATTTAAGAGTGAAAAGGATTGAGACAGATGTTTTTGTGATGATGCAAAACATCTTATTTTATGATCCCTGTCCACTGTGTAACAGGTCAATAATCACAGGGATCTGTGCTATACGTACACATCTACTTTAAGCCCAAGAAACTCTTTCACCATATAGCACACAGAGCAGACAGTGAGCTGGATAGCTTAATGTTTCTGCACAGCTCTTGCTGCAGCCCTCCACGAGAGGGCTCGGTGAACCCATGTAGCGGTGGATCTTCCAGCCTCTTCCTAGCGTTGCCCATGTCCTAATCACTTACTGATCTCTGTGTGTTGGCCTAAAAGAAGCCCTTCCTGCTAGAAGGAGCACTCCCTGGAGCTAGCAGTCTCACTCATCAGGATGAAAATGTACCTCTTAGGCTCTGACCTGTGCCTAAATTTATTTTCTCCAGGATAGTGCATCATCAATCTGCACTCAATTCCCATTGACTTCCCTGGGAACTCAATTCACAGAGCAATTGCAGGATCAGGGCTTCATGCTGTCATACTCCAGACACTGACAAGTAGGAGAGGCAAGGAGGGCTCTGGGAATCCATAATTCGAGAGCTGATATTTATTTCTGGCTATATCTCTTAGCAGAACTCTTATTTGTGAGTAACTTTACATGACAGGTCTACAGAAGTCATTTCTATCCATCCTCTCCAATATTAATTTAACCACTGGGAAAATTGTTCTGAAATGCTTCTCCAAATGGCATCAGAATTTGCAATTTACCAATTATGCTACTGAGAGCTGCAAGTTAAACCTAATCAGTATTGACAGCATTAGATAAAGCACCATTCCCCCGGTTCAAAGAATGCTAATTGTTTGTCTGGCTGCATAACATACATTTCAGTGCTGTTTTGCTAGTGGATCATATGCAGAGCTGTCAGTACTGATTACTTGGTCAAACAAATAAAAAAAACTATATTCAATCCTTAGGTTCTGTTGGCAGCTGGATGCCAAAACAGATGGAACCCAGCCAGTGGCAGAAAATAGGGGGAACATTAGCTCTTTAATTTCCTTCTCTGGGATCTTGCAGAAGCTCCTTCACTGGAGCTCTGATGACTCAGGTCTATAAGGAGCTACTGAGAGGCAGAAGGAAGACAGCTAAAGAGCCCATGCATTTCATGGCATTCTCTCTTAGTAACCTCACAGACTTACCCCTGGAAATCTGATCAAGTGTTCATGCTGCTCCTATGGAGCTAGCTAGTGGCCACATCAATGGCTGCATGTTTCCTACCAAAGGGGAGGGAAGGTGATTGGGAAGCTGTGCAGAAACACAGGGTTTCTTATTTATTCTAAGATCCGCACAAGGTTTAGGAGGACTGAGCCCTCTGTTTTAGCATGGGAAGGAGGGTTTTAGAGCACAGCAAATCCTCCCCCCTGCACTCTCCTCACCTAGCTGGATGGAGGATGAAAACACTGCATTGGAACAGTTGGACTTTTTTTTCTTTCCATCTCCCAGGGAGAATATGGTCCTAAAATCAAGCCAAAAAGTGCTATCGGCAATCAACTTAATTAATGAAGATGGTGAGTATCTAGGTTTTAACAGCAACCACTATGCTAAGAAAGGGTGGTGTTGGTGGTGGTTTTTTGATTTGCACCATACAGAAAGCTCAGGGAAAGGAGATTAAGAAATAGAAACTGAATAATTTTTTTATTCATTTTACTCATTCATCCTGACTGTTTTTAGTGATAACTTATTTTTGTTTGAAAGGCTTATATCTATGCAAAGGAAAGGGGCTTTGTAACATACAATAAAACCTGTTCCCGTGCTTAATTACCAACAAGATCAAGACAATATACAATTTTCTAAATTTTCTGAAACACAATTAAAAACAACAATCAACCAACAATCAGAGCTGTTATCTTTGCAGGCTCTTCATGTAAATTAAGGCCATGAGCATTCAGGTCTTCTTTTCAACCTTTGAAAATAGGACAGTTTCAAAGCTGATTTGAGGTAAATTTTGTGTTTGTAAATAAATGGTTTTCAATCATTTTTCATTAGTGGACCTCTGTAAAATTTCAAAGGGAGGTGTGGTCCCCTTTGGAAATCTTAGATATAGTCTGTGGATCACAGCTTGAAAACCACTGTTATAAATTATGGAGGTAACATATGGCACCACAGTTAAAGATGAGCACCTCACTTAAAGCATGGATTTAATCACTTCACAATGTTTAAAAAATACAGCATATCCTCCCCACCATTATATAATTTAGTATTAAATCTCTACTTTCAAGGTAACACAATGAAAACTACTGTGTTTTTAAAAATCAATTAAAACTAATCTGAAGCTATAAACTGTAAAACACTTACATTACAAATGTGCGGTTATTGCCTGGTGTCTCTGCAGATCAGGGTTAAGGTTGTTTGTATGCCCTACCTGTGTATTCCTTTTAAGCTTATCTCACATTTCCTAGATTTATAATGCTTGTTTCACCAATAAGTATAACATCCCTAAGGGTGCGTCTACACAGCAAAGTTATTTCGAAATAAGTATGCGAGCATCTACACAGCAATTCCGTTAGTTTGAAATGATTTCGAAATAATGGATGTCTTATTCCAACTTATGTAAACCTCATTCTATGAAGAATAGCGCCTATTCCGAAATAGCTATTTTGAAATAAGGTGTGTGTGGATGTTCCACTTCTGCTATTTCGAAACAGCCCCTCATCAGGGCCATTCTAAGTTATTCCTCCTGGGGCTGCAAATCGAGATAGCATATCTACAATTAGGGAACCCTGCCTTGGACTAACTTAGAGGCTTCCCTGCAGTGTAGACGTGCTATTTCAAAATGAGCTATTTTGGAATAACTATTCCGAAATAGCTTATTCCGAAATAACTGCAGTTTAGACATCGCCTAACTGTGTCTTATTCTAAATTACAGACTCATACTCTCAATCTTAATTCTATTGTAACGTTGCTTTAGTTTGGACATTTACTGCAGAATTTGTGCCAGGTATGTCTCTCCTTTGAGTGGAAAGGCAGCTTTCGAATCCACCCTGGGCTCCATAGGATCCACCCTGTTTCATATAGGTGCTGAATTAGTGCACCTCCTGGGAATTCTGTCCATGCCCCATCCTGGCATAGCCCCCACTTTTAGGTACCTGCCCCACAGAGCTCAGGTACAGAGCTCTTTACCGTATTATAAATCTGAATTTTAAACATTTACTAACAGAACTTGCATCTTTTCAATCCAATCTTCCTCATGCTCAGTCATCTGCTACAAAGTGAAATGCTATCTCATTCAAATGTCACCCCCTTTGAGAGGGTCAAAATAGTCCATTTACTGAAGGGAACTACATGACATGAGGCACTGAGAGAGAGTGTCTAAAATCTTTTCAGAAATTTCAGTCTCTGAGCAAGAGATTGTTCATGTAGGGAATGTTAAAGTAGCTCTCCACAACAGTATAATTCCATCAGCTGTTACAAGGAGACATGCTAACAGGGGGGTTGCTTTTCAGAGTTCGCTACTGTGTTGTTGCTGGATACTAAGCCTTGGTCTACACTACAATAACTCCCCTTATTTTGAAATAACAAGCGGAACATCCACACTACCAACCCCGTTATTTCAGAATAATGGTCTGGTTATTTCGAAATAATAACTCCTGCTTTCTATGAGGAGTAATGCTTATTTTGAAATTAGCAATTCACTGCTGCTATTTCAAAATAACTACTCTCCAGAGTCATTCATAGCAATTACTCCTCAGTGCTTCCTGGGGCTGTAAGTCAAGAAAGTACATCCACATTAGGGGAGTCTGCCTTGGTCTGATTTCGAGGCTTCCCTGTAGTGTGGACACACTATTTCAAAATAGTTATTTTGGGAGTTATTTCAAAGTATTTTCCTAGTGTGGACATGTTCTCAGGGTATGACTACACTGCAGTGTAAGCCTGCACTTGAGCCTGGGCTCAAGCCTAACCCCTTTTGCACCTACACTGTAATTGTGCTTAACTCAGTATTCAGACTTAGAATCCGCAGGGCTGGGAGGTCCAAATCTGGGTTTAGCCAGGACTCAGGGTCCAAGCCCTATTGCTTTGCAGTGTAGATGCAGCCACACTTGATTCAGGTCCTGGGAGTTGGCCAAATGTATCCCACAATTCCATGGGACAACATGCATTGTCCTACATATCCCACCAATTCGCAATCCACTCTATTGACAATAGAAGACATGCCCCCTTTGCAAATGGCAGCAGCTCAGTGTTAACCCACAGAGCCTACTGAGTTTGCAGCCGAGAGTAAACTAATCAAGTCTTTCACAAAGCAAGTTGCTTCCTAGTAACATGCAGGATGTGCAGAAAAATTTTCCCATGGTGCACCACAGTCCTAGACAGAGGCAATTATTTCAAAGTTTTTCTGGGGCCCAGGGCCAGAGCAAGTGCAAGTTCCACGAGGCGTACAGATAGTTCGGAATAACTACATAGTTCGAACTACCTAGCCCGTGCCGCGTGTAGCCGCACGGCACGGGGTTCGAACAAGCCGGCTTTTAAAAATGGCGGAGCCGGCTTTATGCTAATGAAGCCCGGGAAATTCAAATCCCGGGCTTCATTAGCAAGTGCGGTATGCATACATTACCCCCCTAGTTCGAACTAGCGGGGTAGTGTAGACATACCCTCAGGGATTTGGTCTGTGCTTTTGTGTTAGAAATTTTATTTTTTTTATGTTGTAAAGAGCTATATTCCTGCACTGACCTTTAACCTCAGTCCCTTCTAGTTTGCCCATCTAGGAAGTATTTTGGGAAAAGGGTCCCTATGAATCCTTAAAGAAGTATTAACAACATGTGTTTCACCTACTTTGACAAAGATAGTGGAATTGCATTCTTGTAAAGCCTCCATTAAACTAATCACATGCAGGCACACCATTTCCACCATCTGAAAGAAAAAATATTAAATAAATATCCAGTCTAATAATAATGTGAAAACAGCCAACAGTCCCTAAGGATAGTTTCACTCCTTTTTCTTGGCAGCTATGCTAGGGTATATTTTTTAATCACTGACATTTCAGGTTAAATATCACAGGATACATAGGGGACATTTTTATTTACTATCTCTGATGCAGCAGCACCTACATAGGCTCTATTTATTTTGTTTAACTCCTATTACACACCAAGCAAGACACATTATGTTCAGCTTTTATCCTCTTGTTCTTTCGACATGTCCCTGCTGAGTAGTTCTCATCAATCACTGAGTCAGAAACTGGTATTTGTAGTTACTGAATTTCTTTGAAAATAAACTTAGTCACAAAGATCACATTTTATTGTTTTCCATCTGAAGGTGGATATAATCTCAATTGGCAAAGGTTCCATGAATGAGTAGTTTTTTGATTTTACAGCATGAAATACAGCATAAACAAATATTAGTTATTTGGTAGTAAATAGCAGTTGATGTTTATGTTATGTAAATAACAAGATAAATATCCAGTGATGGCAGTGAGTATTTACAATGCCTATCTGAACTATGCATACTTTCCCCTGAATAATAATAATAAATTTAGCTTTTCAGTAGTGCTTGTCATCCTCAAAGTGCTTTACAAACACTAATTAAACTCCAAAATACCCATCTGAGAATAAGAATTATCCACATTTTACAGAGCAGCTAGCCAAGACAGAGAGTTTAATAACTTGTACCTACGGCCATATAATGAATCATTGTTACAATTAGGATTAAATGTCAGGGGTTCTGCACACCTTGTCTCTTAGATATGACCAAGCATTAAGCTAATTAGAGGCAGAGATCATGCAGAATTCAGTTAACTTCACTCTACATTCCATGATTATAACTGCAATTCCAAAACTGTGTTGGTACACTATAAAGCACTTAACTAGGCTGGTCACTGAGGTTTCCCCACATTTCCAAAAGCTAAGATCACATTAAAGGACAGCTGTAAATATATTAAATACTAGCATAATGTGACCTTCATGTAAGCAATCGCTGGAGCTGTCAAAAGAATATTTCAACTGCCATCCACACAATTGCAAATGAAGTGGAAAACACCCAAATGTATATGGGATGGGAGGTGATCTACAAGATAACATACATGGGGAGGTATTCTACTAAGCAGCCTCTGTATAAATAAGTGGTCCACATTCTAAAATGTGAAGAGACCCACACGTAGAGGATCAGGCTATATATGAGGAATCTCTTTGTCTTGGGCTTAGAATCAGAATCTTCAGAGCCAAACCCAGCAATTACCATTTCAGCTATTAGAGAATATCTATCACATTGGTTGAACCAAAGGCTCAAGACAAATCTAGCAAGTGGGAGATAAGACCAATATGTGTACTTTGCCCATTTTAGGCAAACTGCCAGCTGAGTGCACACCGAGAGAGCTATTATTCTGCATTGTGCATGCTTCAAGGACTGAACCTATGAGGTACTCAGCAATGGAAGTCAGCAGGTGTCTAGAGCACTCAGTACATTTCAGAAAGCACCAGGCATAGCATTGGGTCCTTCATGAATGTGCCATAACAAATAACTGGTTAAACAAATTTTAGCTCATTTTCTGTTTGTGAAATGTCTATGAACAGACTGTGGTCTTCTCAAATCAGTCATTACTCAAAAATATTTGCTGAATTATCTCTGTGGATGATGCTTGCTCAATAACCTCTTTGCAAAAAGTTGGCTGTGAGAGTTCAGTATTGCTCATTTGAGCTGTTTTGACAAGACACAGATCCCTTGGTAAAAACCCTCAAATATTTACATAACCATTCTGAAGAATTTGATGACTTGCTACGCAAAGCTAGTAGCTCTAACACTGTGCAGCACTAACACCCAATAGAACTGAATAGCAATAAGATCCTTGTTCAGTTTACTACAGGAAAAATCTATTGCTTGTTATCATTCTCTTTGAATTCTCAAAGACAACAGATACTGCACAGGCAAAAATAGCACAAATTGTTTTACAAAACTAGGCATAGTCCCATATATTCAGTTTAGACTTTAAACCTAGAGGGTTTGGCTGTGTATAAGTGCATCTGACTTACCACTTTGTTATGTGCCATAAGCTGTAGGATACTAGGTGTCACTCGGCTCCAGAACTCCAGAGCTGTGAGGATGGCTGTAAAGCTAAACTCATTTTGATTTTGGACCGTAGGGGCTACAGCTGTTTGTTCACAATACACTGTCCAGAGCTGAGCAAATATAAATGCATGGAAGAGGGAACACATGTGCAGCACTGATGTCTGGAGAAAGAGTAACAAGAAGAAAATATGGTTTTTTTTTTAAATAGTGTTAAATACATTCCCCATCGAGGTGTCCCCCATTAACATAGGCCTCCATCAATTTAATCCTCCAAAATGTTCTCCCTCATCCAGTATCCCTAATCCAATACACCACAACTATCAAAGGGTTTCTCTCATTAAGATGTAGTCAGATCTGATAAGATCACGTACACGTTGAAAGAATATGTTCATACTTACAGCCTAAGAGCACAATCCTGCAAACAGATTCTGCACATACAGGCCCTTACTTCTACAGATGCACCCTTAAAGTAAGGGTTTCCGTGTAGCCGCGCTACACGGGGTTCGAAGCAGCGGGGATTTAAAAATGGTGGCTCCCCGCTTATGCTAATGAAGCCCGGGAAATTCAAATCCCGGGCTTCATTAGCAGTATGGGTATGTCTACACTACCCCGCTAGTTCGAACTAGCGGGGTAGTGTAGACATACCCTGACTGATGTAAAACTCCCATTGTCATCAGTGAGAGACATGTAGGAACTTTGTAACCTTAAACATGCTACTGCCCAAGTCAGTGAGAGTGTGTGCTTTCCTAAGACACATACCTCTGTACAAAATAAACCATTTAATGTCAACTTCTTTTGATCTGCAACCCAGTTCCATCTTAACATGATATAATCACGCCAAAACCTGCAGATTATAGCTCCATAATCAATATTCCCTCTAATTTTTCCATCCACGTGCGAAATAAATTTTATTATATGTGGAGGCATGTGTGGATATGCACCACCAGCAGAAACACATGCTGCCAGCTCTGGGTGCAATAGGCACTCTGCTAGTCAGCTGGGCAGCATTTGAATCTCTCCTGGGTGGCTGCCCAAGTGCTCAGCTTACGGGAAACACTTCCCATAATTGTAACTCTGGAAGGCTCACTGTGGCGTTTTACAGATGCACCTGAACATGCCTCTTTAATAATAAATACTAGATACAGTAATTTCTGACACACACTGAAGAGCTGTCACGACTCCTAGATGTGTCACTAGTTCATTATGAAAGAGACGTTCTTTCAAGTCATAGATGTTTTCTCAGTTTAAAAGCGCAACGGTGATTCATGACCAACACCAGTGTGACTGCACCAAATACTCCCATGGTTGCTTGGTAACTGGAGGGGAGGTATTTGAAAGAGCAAAAAGAGCTAGAAGAAATGAATGAGAAGCATTAGTCTTGAATGGGTGAGGGCAAACCATGTATTAGACAAGCATGAGATCATTCTACTTGTGTAGTTAACAAACTTTGGTTTAGTGTAATACATAGTACCTGCAGCATCCATGTCAATTATTTTACGATTTTCAGAATGCACACTTTTCACCTTCAAAACACTTAACAAATGCTGCTGTGCCTGAGCCCATCTCTGTTAGTAAATATTAAGGTGGTTTTTTTTAATCCTCACATCATGTATGGAAAGTCTTATCTCCATTTGAATAGAACAGAAGTATTTACTCACTTGCGACAGGAAGAGTCAATGGGGAACTGTAAGAACTAGTCTTGGAACTCAGGAATTCCCATTCCCCACTCCTGTGCTCAAACCATTTTACATCTATACTGCATGGCTATTTTGGGATATGGCAGGTATCCCGGAATAGCTACCACACGTCTTAACAAGCCCCCTTTTGTTTCGAAATATTTTTCTAAATAACGGGCATGCTATTTCGGTATCCCGGTAACCTTCATTCCACAAGGGTTGAGGAATATCTCCAAAATAAGTGCTGTGTAGACAACACCAAATTTCAAAATGAGCCATTTTGAAATAAGATACGCGATTTGTGTAGCTCAAATTGTGTATCTTATTTTGAGTTTAGGGTGCTGTGTAGACACACCCTTAGACAGTGGTGCTCTCGGGTAATAAAGAATCTCTAGCAAGCTGATTTTTAGTGAATTTAAGACCAGTTTTCTATATGTATTGGGGCAGTTACCTTAAAGGCAGGTTTGTTTGTTTTTTTTCTAATTTATTATCAGAACTTTTTTATTATGCTTCCAGTCTGTCTCTTATGAAGATAGCAGTGTGCTAACTTTGGGCAGTATTAGTATGGTGGGATCGTTATTAAATTACAAAGTGGGCAGTGTAATTTTAAAACGTTCAAACAATATTGCTGGAATGTTTTATGTGTACCAGCAGTACCATCTGAGAGTTTAATGTCACTGTCAATAGGCATTATCTATGAAGTTGCTTTTATAATATCCAGAGGAGGAAAAGTAGTAAGATGCATTTCATCTTCCCAGAAACTGGTTCCCAGAAACTACAACTGGTTATGTGTATGCACTACTAATGCATACAATATAGTCTGTCATTGTAACCCATGGAATCCCTTACCTTTGATTGTTCTGGAAATCCAATCAGGATAACAATAAGGTGGTCTGCAATGTGGGACCCAGCATCCAGAGGAATTGGCATACAAGATGATGGAGAATTCGGACAGACGACATTGTGTGTCAGAGACCCCAGAAGGAGCCAGGAGAGTAAACGAATATGAGATACACATTCGATAAATTCTTTGGGCCTGTCAGAAAACAATTTTTACAATGCTTGTAAACTTTCTATTCCCTCATTAACTGAAAATCCCATATGTTTGAAAAATGTTGCCTGTGCTTGCTAGAGTCTAAATCATTCGGATAACTTGTGGGAATGCTAGTTACAGCCTCTTGCAGATTGGATGACCTGTCATGGCATTAACATGCCCAGAAGAACCTGTTCTGTCTTTGCAAAGCAGAGGTTCAGCACAAGGCTGGTATAGCAAATTCACAGTTTCATAGATCCAAATGCAGTGATTATTTGGATACAAAGTATCAAAATGGGGGGTTACCCAAAAGGAGTTTTCTATCATGATCTGGAAGTACACTAAAAACTGTGTTCATGGCACTGAGCTATAATTCATGAGATCCAGCTCCAGCTTCCAGCTCTGCCAGAAACTTGTTGTGTGACCATGAGCAAATCATTGGATCTCCCTGGATCTCCCTGGATCTCTCTTCCCCATCTGTGAAATAAGGTTAATAATACTTCCTTTCTCCCACACTTTGCCTGTCTTTGTCCATTTAGACTGTCAGTTCTTTAGGGACAGGGACTGTATCCTAATAAAAGATCATATACCACTAGCACAGTGAGTCCCTGATCTAAGCTGGAGCATATAAATGTTAGCAAAATACAAGACTAATAATAGTTTCCATTGGTTTCATCTCAATCCAAATTCACCTTGGTTTCACAAAGCCTGGAATTTAGACTACTTACACTTCACTACCTATGACTTCGTATAAGAAACTGATTTTAGCTTGGAAAGCCGTGGCTAGCAGACCTTTCACTGCCATTTTTCATTATTAATTTAACATCAGTGTCTGAGAACGAGGCATAGGAATAATACATTTTATTCACTGGCTTTTCTACTGTGTTTAGCATTCTCAGACCTGCGGCTTCATAAGCATTAATTATCCTTATACCAGGACTTATTACTCTCATTTTACACATGGTGAACTGAAGCCCAGGGAGATGATAACCCCAATGCTGCAACCACACATGCACATATTTAATGTTAAGCACGTATATGTACATGTTTGCAGGACTGGGGCCTGAGGGCCATATTTTTCAAGGTATTAATTGCCTAAAGATGTAGATAAGTGCCTAGTAAGATTTTCATATGTGCTTAATTCCCACTAGAGGTGCCTTTAGGCACCTCAGTATTATAAAATCTGGCCCAGGTGATTTCCCCTAGGAAATTGACACTAGATCCAGGAACTGAATCCAAATCTAATGATGCTATGGCTAGCGTCTTAACCATATGACCATCCTTTCTCTCTACGAAAACTAATTCTAAAACAAGGATTAGTTCTCCGCACCTGCACCACCATCATTTCCCCTTATCTTACATATGCTGCATCTACACCAAAATACTGCAGATCAGGATCTTTTCCATTTACTTTGACTGGGGCAGGAGGAAGCATGTATTTAAATGGAAGTATATGTACAGCTTCACAGATCAAATCCAATGAACCCCTCATATAGTGAAGTCTTTTTTTTAAGAGATCACTTTCAGAATGGGCACAGACCTGGAGCAGTTACTCATTTTCATTCACTCTTTACATTGGCAAGCTGCAATGAGTAAAGAAACAGATTTTGGCCCTATATAACTAGATTCACAACCAGAACTGATCTAACATTTTCATTCTGTTTTAGTATAGACTAGTATTCTAAAATCCATATTCAAATTCATCCCATCCCTGATGTAATTTCACTGAAGTCAATGGAGTAACATCATGGATCCATTTGGGCCCATGGTGCAACATTAGGGTCATAAAGTTGGGGCTGTTGAAACATTTAACCTTGAATTGTCGTTGTGTCAAAGTCATCATCAAATCACACCCACTGTCACCACTAATTTCATTCCATTTAATCCAACAAGAACCCCAGAATTTTTCTGGGAATTTCTGCCTCATTGCTCTTCTTTTGGCAAAAAAGGTGTTCTTACCCCTGTTGCATTGCAGAAGGAGGATGGTATAGCCATGGCAAGTAACGGATCACAGCTTTATTATCTCTGTGATTTCCACGTGTAATTTCCATAGCTGCAATCTGAGCTAAACCAACTTTGAGATGGCCGCCAAATGTGTCTTCATGCAGTGGCTGGGAACATGTCTTCATGTGACTCTGCAAAACAAAAGATCTGATTTCCTATCCAATAGGCGATTGCATTAGATCCATTTTATGTACAGCCTCATATTCTATCTGTTCACTTTCAATTACACATAACACAGAAAGAGATGGGCATATTGTGCATGTACACTTTCCATAGGTTGGACCTCTCTGGTCCAGCACCCTTGAGACCTGATTGGTCTCAGATGAGGGATTTTGCTTTATTGGAGAGGCCATTTCTGGTGCCCTTGCCACCAGCCCACTTGCTCTACTCCCCCGCTGGGCTTCCCGGCCCCTCCCCTGGCAGCCCTGCTAGGCCTTGTGCCAGGCTCCTGCCCCCTCTTGCTGTATTGGTCTCCTGTCTCTCCCCCCTTCCCTCAGCCCTCAGGATTCCTGCCCCTTTCTTGCCACCCCCTGCACTAGGACTCTCTGATGCTGGAACATCTTGCTGGACCAGAAAGTCCTAGTTTATAAGTGCAACCTCAGCAAACCCTGTAACTATGTACGCAAACTAGTTTTCACATACTCAGGTTATTTAATTGCACATCAAATAACTCAGTCTTTTCACAAGGCAATACCATTTATTCACACTGTCAGCTTTGCCTGGGCAAATAACCATTTATTTTACAAATGCAGTGTATTTCCTGTTCAGTGGGTATGAGATCATTTAGCATGGTGAGGCAGACAGGCCCTGAAATACAAATGCAGTGTATTTCCTGTTCAGTGGGTATGAGACCATTTAGCATGGCTCATCTATTGTGAGGCAGACAGGCCCTGAAAATATAAGAGCGGTGTTGTGTCTACTGAGAGTGGCATATGCTTATCACTGAAAAGGTATTTTACAAAATGCTGTTGTGGGCTGTAATGCTTAATTGATGCTTCTTGAGGTTCCTCCATATTCCCAAATGTGCTAACTCAAACTGTCTATTGCTTTTGCAGAGGATGGCACTGCCAATGGATATATAGTTTGTTTAAAGGGACTAAGAGTGGTTTGTACAACAGAGGCCATATCATCAGCTGGAATAAATTGCTATAGCACCACAAAAGTTAGTGGACCTATGCTAATTTTCATCACCTGAGCATCTGGCCCCAGGGGTTTAAGTTTAGTTTCAGGAGTACAACATCTTCCAGCACAGACAGACAAATAAACAGATCTTTTGCTTAAGTCCAGGTAATGACACTTCTAAAATTCAGCTTTCCTAACTTTCTAGTAATTTACATTTTAATCCAAGAGAAAAGAAACACCAAAAACAACTGAACAAAATAACTGAACACAGACAATACATGAGAATATGTCTATTCTGAGAAGCTATGTGAAAGTCTCATATAATGCACCCATTATCAATACAGAGCTGAGAAAGAAATTCACAATTAATGTTTCTTCCACAGAAAAAAAGAAAGCACTCAGTCTCAAAGTACTGTATTTGACCTGAACTACCAACTTTAAACTAAACATTCATTCAGCAACCTTCACCTCTTTTTTGTCCATTGAATCTCTTCAAACAGTACTTTCCTTAGATGTATTTATTAGTTGAAATAATTTGATGAACAATTCCTCCCCTTTTTTAAGAAAAATGCAAAGCCTTGTTATTCACAATTTGAAATCCCAAATCAAGTTGGGTTCAGATGGTCATATAAATCACATGATATTGTTCCCATCGTGGCTAGCGTAACTCTGATCAACAGGCCTCTAGAGGGAATACTTATTCAATGTGGAAAAACTTAAAATCCAATCAATATGAACATGGGCATGAACAAGAATGATGTGTTCATGTTTAAAACTGACTGAATATTTGTAGAGGCTTGGGGAATTCTTTTGGTTTGGTTTGATTTTTTCCCTGTATTTGCCCAGCTATATAGGGCTATGTCTAGACTGCAGGCTTCTTTTGAAAGAAGCTTTTCCGGAAGAGATCTTCCGAAAAAAAACTTCTTCCGAAAGAGCACCATCCACACTACCCAACAGCATCGAAAAAGCAATCTGCTTTTTCGAAAGATTGCATCCATATTAAATGGATGCTATCTTGCATTTAAGCTGTGATTACTATGGACGGAGTGGCCATCAGGGCACCTGTGCTTTTTCCTCTTTCCTCTCCTTTCGAAAGAATTCCCTCTTCCCTATACACACACACCTTTTTCCGAAAGAGCTCTTTCAGAAAAAGGCTTCTCCTCATAGAAAGAGGTTTACCAATGTTGGAAAACCCCCTCTGTTCTTTCGTTTTTTTCCGAAGTGGACGTAAGTGAAGTTTTTTCTGAAAAAACTCTGTAGGGTAGACATAACCTAGGAGACATAAAATGTGTTTCTATAATCCCCCCTTAAAAAGTAAATCAAAAGGAAAGAGGCTACCACTTTTCCACAAACAAACTTTCCACATACAAACTTTCTGAACTACTTGTCTGTACATTTTCCAAACTTTCAGACCTTCATTCAACCATTAACTAAATAGTGGTCATTATAGCTGGCTTTCAAACTCTGACCATTCATCATATAAGCTGAATCCAAACAAAATTTGGGAATGCTTTGATTCTGATCCAGACTAACTCCTAACTAACAAAGATCAAGAGCTCACTCCCTGGTTTAATTTTGCCCCATGAAAGTTATATGAAGAACAGTGCAGGGGTCTTAGTTCAACTCTATTGCTTTCTATATAAAGGCTAGCAATAAACATGAACTTTTAGATTCCGCAAAGACTTATGCAACTGTGTAAGCAAGTCAAGGTGGATAATATTTTATTGGACCAACTTCTGTTCCATGTGGAGCATTATAGACGGTAAAGCCTCTGGGAATTATATTTTGTTTCTTGCATTTGCTCAGGAGTAGATGTTACTGTACTATTAAACTTTGCTTCCTTTTTCTTCATATTGTGGTGTTTCTATTCCAGAAGGAAAAAAATCAGTATCTTCCATTGGTGTTTTCAGTGTTATTGTAGCCATATTGGTCTCAGGATATTAAACAGACAAGGTGAGTGAAGTAGTATCTTTTGTTGGACCTATTACCTCATCCACCCTATCTCTCTAATATCCTGGGACCAGCACAATTACAACAATACTGCATATAACTGTAAGCAAATAAGCAGTCCCACTAAATTGACTGGGATTACTGCCCTTCTGATTAAAGTAAAGCATTTGCATGAACTTTTTCCATTGAAGCCTTAATGAGGTAGCAACAATTTAGTAAAAATGGGAAAAAAGGGGAGGAGAGGGAGAATAAAAAAGTATGCAAGAAAGAGCTTTAGGAATATTTCAGAGATAAGAGAGGCCATCTGAAAACATTTACAAAGATGGGTTCCAACTGAATTCATGTTTCTATGGGGTAAGTATGAGCTTCTCTTAGTTTTATCACAGATTCATTTTTAGTAAATTTGGAAAGTAATGTGGAATTTGTGAATAATTTTTAAATGGGAAAAATGAGAGTGAGAGGGGAATTCAATTCCACTGAAAATTATTACCAAGTTCACGTTTTAGAGTGGACCACGACTCCAGTGCAAAAAGGAAAATGCAGATGCCCCCTACTGAAGCATTTCTAAAATCTGAGTGTCAAGACAGACAGTCAGTAAGGCAAGAAATAGAAACAGAGATTTTTTCCTCTCTTAAAAAAATTAATTGTGGGTTTCAACAGAAGCTTTTATCCGCCATTCCTCTTCATTTGTGTGGCTGGCACTCTCCCCCTGCAAGAAGGTGTTTATGTGAAGATAAAAGATGAAGTGGTAACATGAGGCAGTAGACTGCACTGTCACTATTTTTCAAAACAAGATTGACACTTTCTAAAGCTTGGCATATAAGAGAAGCAGCACACTCATCTCTAGGGGAAATGGTGTTTGCTGTGCAGCATTTCAGTATGCCTTGCAGACTGATCTCTGTGCTACAAAATGCACTGAAGCAAATCAACTGTTCTTTAGGCAAAAGCTAGACGTGAATGTGGGAGATTAGTGCAGCCTCCCTAGAACTATGTGTATGTCAGAGCTCAGGGTACAATGTGTGAATGAGGCAACACTAGCTTTAGATCAAACAAATACAATTTGGCAGCTGTGTGATGTGATTGTTTTCAGTGATGGAGTGACCTCTGATTGTGCTGATCAACTTCCCCTTGGATCACTGAGTTCCTGTTGTTTAAACACTACAAGTTGCACTTCCCAAAAACCAGAATTCTCTGGTCCAGCTGAACCACAGATGTTCCTTGATCAAACAAATACAATTTAGATCAAACAAATACAATTTGGCAGCTGTGTGATGTGACTGTTTTCAGTGATGGAGTGACCTCTGATTGTGCTGATCAACTTCCCCTTGGATCACTGAGTTCCTGTTGTTTAAACACTACAAGTTGCACTTCCCAAAAACCAGAATTCTCTGGTCCAGCTGAACCACAGATGTTCCTTGATCAGAGAACCGCGGTAGCCTAGTGGCAGAAGGGCTATCCAGGAGGGGCCAGGTTGAAGCAGCAGGACAGTGCAGAAGCTGGCAGCAGCCCCCAGCAGCCTGCAGCACTGGGACTGGGTTGAGGCAGCCCCGGGCAGCGCAGGTTCATGCTGGCGACAGTCCATGGTAGCACGGGGCTGGGGCCAGAGTCCCAGGCAGCCCGTGAAAGTGGGACCAAGGCTGGGGCTGGCGGTGGCCCTCAGCAGCATGGAACTGGAGCCCCAGATAGCACATGGCAACATGGGGCCAGAGCCCCAGACAGCCCACAGAAGCATGGTCAGAGCCCACAGGCTGCCGCAGGGTTGGGACTGGAGCCAGAGCCAATTCCTGGCAACCTGTGGTTGCACACGGCTGGAGCCTGTGGCAGCAGGTGCTGCTGGGGCACAGCAGGCAGTTCGGTTGGGACAGCAGCAGCGGTGTCAGTGACCCAGCAGGCAGCCCAGCAGAGGCTGGAGGGAGTCCCTCCGCCTCCCCACCCCAGCTGGCAGAGTTGGAAGCTTTATTTTTCTGCAGATGATTGTTTAACCTAACAGTCCCTTCCAAAGCAATCTTTGTAGGATATTATTTTAGCAGCATCCACATTTCAAAAAATTACTTCTGTCTTTATTTTGTGTCAAATACAACAAATGGTCTGGTAGCACTTTATAGACTAATGAAACATGTAGATGGTATCATGAGCTTTCGTGGCTCGTGATCCCATCTACATGTTTCGTTAGTCTATAAAGTGCTACCAGACCATTTGTTGGTTTTTTTCTGTAACAGACTAACTCAGCTACCCCCTGAAGCTCCTTTATTTTGTGTGCTATGCACATTCAAATCCAGCCCTAACTTTAGCCCTTTGTATAAGCTACTTTCTTGTTTCTCCCTGAAAAAGTGACCAACCTATGACAGCACTAGCTTTAAAACAGAAATCTCTCTATTAGTAATTTTCAAATATCGACCCTCCAGCTATGCACAGAAAAGATAAATGTCTTAATTAGCAAATACAACTTCGGTCAACATATCCCTGTACCGCTCTCACCTTTAATTTGGTTAAGGTATGCATATCAGCAATAAAATCCAGCACTTCATTCACGTACTGTCTCATGCACTCCATTGCTGCTGTTCCACACTTAAAAAAACAAAGAACTGAATTTAATCATCTGCTTTTTTGACATAGTCAGGTTTTTGGATTTGCCTCATGTTCACTGTAAACACATCTGTTTCTTGTGTGCTGCTAGTTCGGTGCCATTTACTTTAATGAAAATCTTCTTGAGAGTGTAGTTTGTCCCACTATCCATATACATAAAGCATACTATCTCAGTACCTGCTATATCCAGCACAGAATTTCTCAACATTGACCATAATAAAAGGTTAAGTGAAGAATAGTGTACACCTTGAACTTTTCATATGGCCTGAATCAAAGTCCACTGATGTCAATGGGAGTCTTTCCATCAGCTTCAATGGGCTCCAGATAAAGGCTCCTAATACCACACCTTTTCAAGCAGCTGAGCTCTCCTATGAAGGAAACCGATGGACTGAGCCCTAAAAAAAGGTAAATACAATCACAGGCACAGATCTTCTGTGTTCATATGAATGAGTCTAGTTCAGGAAGCTTATGTAAAGAACACGGACCTTCGTCCTTGACCACAAATTCCCAGTGAAGATGGCACTAGAGAATTTTCTTTTGGGTCGCTTAGGTCATGCTTTCTCTTGTTAGCAGAGATGCATGTGCACCAAAATTTTTGCAGGTAGAGGTTAGTGGAATATTTTCATTGAGAAAGTACTCAGAAGATCAGTATCTTGCTGCCATTTCAAACCGGGCTCATTTTACTCAAAATATTTAAAGACCTGCTACATTTAGATCACAAGAGTTTTCACTTCACAGCATGCAGAGTTTAAGAATGTAGGAGTTTTCAGAGTGTTAATAAAAGTACTGCTTTCACAACACTTTAGGAATTGTACAAAGCAAAACTATGATTTTTCTTTTTAAAGAAACTGCCACAACTCCCCCCTCCTCCCTCCCGCCATCATAGTTACATACAACCTTAGGGAAACACAATAAAGACCGTTTCTTTCCTTCAACTCCAATTTAAATGAAGACAGGTGGCACATTGGCCTCGATCATGAGCAAGCCTACACACCAGCAGCACAGAGGAATTAGGGGATATAAAAAAATCTCCCCGTGCTCTTACATGAGCTATCTGCATTTCAGCCACAGATGTGTAACCAGCTGTGCCAGCATACAGGGAGATGTAATCTGTGCCAGGAAAAGTGCTGGTTTGCATTACCTCCCCCATGTAGAAAAAAGGGGAGCAGGAACCAAATTATGATGCCACAGAATCACAATTTGGTCTGTGCTCTGTTCCTGGGCAGTGCGGTTGTTCATGGCCCCTTACTCAGGGTGCATTGCAAGTGCCAATCTAACCCTCAGTTAGCAAAGGATCTGCAAGGTACATGCTAAGTAATGCAGTGAATTAAATTACTGAGCTAAACACAGGAGAGCTCTTCTGAAAGGCTTTATGAGAAGTTGCATATGACTAATGGGCTGTGTCTAGACTGGCAAGTTTTTCCACAAAATCATCTGCTTTTGTGGAAAAACTTGCCAGCTGTCTACACTGACCACATGAATTTCCGGAAAAGCACTGACGATCTCATGTAAAATCATCAGTGCTTTTCCGGAAAAACTATGCTGCTCCCGTTCGGGCAAAAGTCTTTTTCCGAAAGACTTTTGCACAAAAGGGCTAGTGTAGACAGCATAGTACTGTTTTCCGCAAAAAAGCCCTGATCGTGAAAAAGGCGATTGGGGCTTTTTTTGTGGAAAACCGCGTCTAGATTGGCCACGGACGCTTTTCCGCAAAAAGTGGTTTTGCGGAAAAGCATCCTGCCAATCTAGATGCGCTTTTCCGAAAATGCTTTTAACGGAAAACTTTTCCATTAAGAGCATTTTCGGAAATTCGTGCCAGTGTAGACGTAGCCATGGAGTATTCACCTTAAGCCAAAAACAGATTCCTTTGAATCCAAGGCTGATTTTCAGGAGTGGTGAGCACCCACAATATGAGCTGTAATCTGAGGGAGTGGGGGCTGCTCAGCTCCTCTGAAAAAATCAAACTTTTTATAAATTCAGTATTATTCTGGGTCCAATACACACAAGACTTACTGCATTACATTACACCACTGTTATGTCAAATCTCATATATTTCTTCTAAGAGTGGCCAATACCTAGAGCTTCAAAAGAAGAAAAAAGTTGTATCGCACCTGGCCTGTAACCCCTCTAGTAAACTGTGCGCACCCTAAAACATGAGAACTGATCACCCTTTACTGAGCCTGAATAACTTCCAGTGTTGTTTTGTTCATAAAATTATTCAGGCTTAAGTGAGTTTTAGTTGCTTAAATTTGAGAATCTGCTCAAAATTCTATATTTAAGCAGCTGACCCAAGTATTTCTCATTTTTCTATCTTAATATAAATCTACATGGTGCTGAACTGTAACACCTTCTGCCTGTTCCAATGCTATGCTTGTCAGTTCTCTTGACAGGATAACAAGCAGTAATATAAGGTCACTGGCAGCCCTGTCAGAGTGTCCTCCATCCAGTTTATGTGAACTAAGGATTCCACATTGCTTCTTTGAAAGTGAGTGATGGAATTATAAAAGGTATTGCGCTCAAACTTCCTGAATAATAAACCACTATGGCAAGAAACTTTTCTCCTATTATTTATTTAGTTTCTTTTGGTGGTAATATGTTGAATTCAAACAGCAGAACTTTCTCTTCTGTTATTTCTAAAATGATCAGTTTATTCCATATCTTATTATATCTATTTGAATCTGCATACTTTGATCAAAATAAAATGGAAAGGTTCTTTTATGAGAGGTGTTAATTATCACAATGGCTTGGAGTTAAGTCATAGAATCATAGAAGTTAGATATATATAAAAGGCCATTTAGGTCATTTATAGGGTTGGTGAGACTTGCACATAAACAGTCTGCATCATGCTATGTTACTTTAAATTCTTCTCAACATTCTATAAAAATGAATCATCTCAGCTTCTACCTTCAATATCCTAGTAAACCAGCAGAGAAACAAAGATAAGTGAAAAGGAGATTTCCATGAAACAATCTGAACATCTGGACTGAGTGAGAATATTTTTTTTTAAAAAGCAGAAACAAAGAAATGAAGTATGGTTCAGTACTTACTCCAGGCATAGATGAAATCATCTGTTTATGCAAGATTGTTGACTCAGCTAGTTTTGTTCCAGCATCTGCACAAACAAACTAATAAGAAATTAAAGATGAATTAAATTTGTAGGAGCATGAAGACATTAAAAAGTAATTTATGATTCTGTTAAACTCAGCTCAGATTTCTTTTGCTTAATTTTGTGATAACTTGCTTTTGGACACAATAGAGCTCCTGCCATTATAAACAAGTTAATTTGTCTGTAATAAACAAGTTAATTCATTAGACAGAAAAACTGACTTTAAAGTATATGAATGAACATACATATGATGATTTGTGCAGTAATGATTTGAAGAAAAGTATAAGATAAAATAGGATATTTTCAATCAAACCTAAATATATATGTAATCAATGGGAAGCTTTTGCATTTCTCCAAATAACCTCAATGGGCCCTTCTTACTGTGATTGATTTCAGAAGTAAAGGAGGATGGATCAATGAGCAATATTCAACATTCATGACTCGCTGTTGACTTTAATAGAATTACACTAAGGATGAATTAGATTAACATATTTTATATTCAGAATGAACCATTATGATCATCTAGTCCAGGGGTGGGCAATTATTTTTGCTGAGGGGCCACTTCACAAATTTTGGAAGTGGCTGCAAGCCGCCCTCAAAGGGGTGGGGCCTTGGGAGAAAGGGGGCTGTTCCCTCTGGGTGCAGCCCACCCGAGGCAGGGAGAGGAGACTTTGCTTGCTCCGTCGCTCCTGGGCCCTGAGTGGCCTGGGTGTGGGGGAGTGCACAAAGTCTTTGCTCCCTGCCCTGCCCTGCCCTGCCCTGCCCTGCCAGGGGCACATGGTACCTAGAAAGAACTACCAGCCATTTTGAACAGCTGGTGGTTCCCTCTAAGCATAATGTGCCCCTGGCGGTGAGAGAAGCCTTTGTGGGTACATCTCTTGTTCTGAGTGGAGGTGGTGAAGGATCTGACAGAGGCACATATTTGCCAGTAGGAAGTTCTCCTATGCCAGAAGAATTGTCTGTTGGACATTTGTGGGTGTATTATGGTCCTTTTGCACTACACAAATGGTGAAAAGGGTCCATAACTCACTAAAGAATCTGGCCTGTTATGTCTAAAATATTATGAATGATTGTGTGCATTGCTATAGATAAAATATTGTGTCAGTATTCAGAATTTCAAGTAATCTGAGAACATCTGCTAGAGTGAAACATTGTTTATTTTAAATATTATTTTCCTTAAAACAATAAAACCTTATTAGCATCCTCTTAACTTACTAAATGCAAAGTATTCAATGGGGTGGGTTGAGCAACAAAGATTAATTTAAACATGAACAATGGTTGACAAAATCCATAAAGTTTGTAATAAGCAATTAGCTCCTCTATAGCTTATAATTTTTGTTACCATCTGTCTTGCAGCTGCAAGGATCCTTCCAGAGCTGAACTCTTACAGGGAAGAAAGGATGGGTAAACCAAACTAATGCTCAAAACTAAAATGTCTTATTTCGGAGTTCAACTCACTGACATTCATATCAACTTCTTACAAATACTACAAGGACTCAAAAACTACTGGGAATAGATTTAGTACCAGTCATATGTAAGGAAAGTCACATTTTAAAGGGATGGGAAGTAAATGTTGGACCTCTTCCTAACATTGCCTGCTAATTGAGATGAAGACACTGAGACATGAATAAATGGGCATGCCTGCTGAAATTGGGTGGGTAAATATTTTCAAAAAAATATTTTGAAGAAATATCTTAAAATATGAGCTTCATATCTGATCATTCATTCCATTATGCATTATGATTTAATTAAAGCAATGATGAAGGGGATGCAAAGTTGGCCTGGTTAGGGGAAATGATATAGTAAAGGTGCCAGGCTTCCCATGCAGCATCGCATGGGAAAGTGTGACTCAATCCAAGCTCAAGTGTTGCAAACTGCTTGTGGTGCCTTCATCTTCATACTGCTACATGGACTGCAGATAGTTGCAGGGGAAGTGTCTCTTACTTTAGAGTGAAGGTTTGAGACTTAACCTTTTGAGTGAAAAGTGTTGGAAACAGTGAAGATGGAAGCACTAAGCTAATATATTTTGCATGCTGGGTATTACGTAGTCGAGGTGTAAAGCAAAAACTCAGAATGATTCACCTCACCAGGATTAAAAAGGAGATGAAGGAATGAATGAAAACAAAGACCTAAAAGGAGATGCATTATAATTGAGGTAGATATGGAACTGAATAATGAATTTAAAAGAGAATCAATCCATTTGTGAAATGTGGGAATGCTAATGACTAATGTATACTGATGGCGCCAAAGATCTAAGATCAAGAAGAGTGGGAGCAGTGTTCTGCGTCCCTTCCTGCAGGCTATGTCTAGACTGCCACTTTTTATCGGACAAAGGTACGCAAATTGCGCTCTGCAATTTGCATACCTTTTTCTGATAGTTTTGTCAGAAGAGGCTTTTCCGAAATTTGGCCCATCTACACTGGGTGAAATTTCGGGAAAACCTCCTCTTCTGAAACCTGGCTTCTGAAAGAGCATGTCTGCTCTCCCGCAAAAAATGTGAGAAGAGCAGAAGCGTTCACTGGACACAGGGGAGTTTTTCCAGGATATTTCCGGTATCCCGGAAAAGCTCCGTAGTCTAAACATAGCCTCAGAACCAAGAAAACTGTAAAGCTATCAAATTTTGTAGCCACTCTGACAGCTGAGTACTCAGCCGCTATGGTTATCCTTTATGATTCCTTATCAAGATCACTGCCAATCAGAAATAATGCTTCGGACAGCAGAAATTATATGCTTAATTAATTACTACTGTGAACAGAATTGACACAGTTGGGTGTAACATTGTAACAGCATGGAATCCAGTGCAGGTGGAGGTGGTGGATATTGATCAGGCAAAGTGGCAAAAAAGTGCTGTCAAACACAAGAAAGTTATTTGGAGATCTAAGTAAACTTCAGTTTAAAAACCTCTCTCAATATAAATGAGTTTGTCCTGCCGTGCGACAGAACAATGTCATCAGGCTCTCTGGCCGTGAAAATTGTCAGAGAGCAGGGAGATTAGCGAGTGTAGCAAACAGTGGACCCACCCACTAGTCTAATTAAAAATTAGTTAAGAGAAGAATGGCAGGAAATAAAGGCACAAGAAATAAAGGAGAAAAGACGCCACGAAATGTGCCCAAGAGTCAAACATTCTGATATATTGTAAGGCCTTGAGAGAAATAGCAAAGTGGTTCTATTTATAATTTTATCTGGTGACTGTGATTTAAATAGCAATTTTTTTCTAATAAACAAGAATCAGGATTCAAGGTCCAGGAAACAGCTGGGAGTACAAAGAACGTACCGTCAAAAGTGGATATTTATGATGAAAAATTTAAAAGCCTTAAAATATCAAAATTTTCATTTTAGCACTCAGATCTTCTGGAAAATGAGCCCTATACAAAAAAAGCACTGCAATTATTTTAAGAACATGGAGAAGGTAAATATATTAATTTTTGAATTATCTATAGTACCCACTGTTTGGCAATCTTGGACTCAGCAAGTGAGCCTGCTTCACCATAAAACAGAAGAAGAAGGAAGTAAGGGAAAGGTGTTTGAATAACAGAGGAATTGAGACTGCCAGAGGCAGGTGCCAGTTACCTGGGGAAACTCAGGAGGCTGTATGGTGATGGGAATGATGGGAGCAGCTGGTGAGAACAGCTATAAGGAACAAGTCTGGCTCCCGCAGAGCCTTAACCAGATAAAGCCTGTGAGTGAGAGTAAAGAAAGTTCAAAGGAAAAGGAAAAGCAGAGCAGAGTGATGCTGCAGGAAGAGAGGTCTCCTGCAATGCCCCAATGGAAAGGACAGTCCATCAGGGAGGAGAGGAATATTTTAAAATGTTTGTTTTTCTGGGAAATTTGTTAATTTAATTAGAAAATATCCATGCCCCAGAAATGCTGCAATTGAGCAAGACTGCAGTTGGAATATTGTTTAAGGAGTCCTGAAGCCAGAAACAGGAGCAGGGCTTTGCAGAGGTATCCCTGGCTTTAGTGGATGACTGTGTGACAGAGGAGGTAAAAGTGCTCACAGCTGGGTGCAGGACTGGCAGAGCTGCATAAGCCAAAGGGAGCATTGCCATGTTGATTGGTGGTGTCTATCCCTATGTGGAAGACAGCATTATTAAGCAGAACACCTTTTAGAAATGAATTAAATCAGCAAGGCGCAGTGTGTACCTGCTTTTTAAACTGGTGTTTATTTTGCATACTCCTGGAAAGCACAAGCAAACATATTATGGCTGGAGGAGCTGCTTGGAGACAGAGGGTCCCTATACCTCTTCCAGTCTGCTCAGGATACCAGTGCCCCAAGCTGGACTAATTTGGTCCGAAGTGTTATCCCTCCCCTAGTAAAGTGTGAAAAAATGACTCCCATTGCATTGGGTATGTGTGTCATTGGTAATGCTGATGGCAGTGAGTAATTTGGAATTAATGTGGGTGTCAAATTGCAGTCATTCCTTTGTTATTCAGCCCACGCTTGATCTATCATTAAAATAAAATGTTCCTAGCCCCCATGTTATCTCGCTTATCTGGAGTGAATCCCAATGTACCGCTATGCATCATACACAGAAAGGTTTATACACATGTTAAGGGGGGGGAGGGTTCTGCAGGAACTTTTGTGCAAATGAAAACTGTATTTGTGTTCATTTCGCACTAGCCCTGCCACAGGTTTGAGTAACATAAGATAATATAATTGATATGAGTTTTCTATTGGCTTCTCATTTCAGGAATACTGAATACTGACGTAAATCTAAAATAATATATGTGATGTAACTAGCTGATTACCTACAAGGCTGTTTCTGTTAATGTAGTATATAAGAGTAAGTGCTGGGTTGGCAGCAGAGGTAAAGGTAAGCCAGAAAGGCCAGGTATGCTGTACTGGCAAGAAAGTGGCCAGCAAAGTCAGGTATGCTATACCAGCTATTTATAGCCAGTATGGTGTATCAGAAAGACACCAGTGTCTGCCTATCACCTCCATCCCTTCCACAGTGCTGCCTTTCCTCTGTACCACAGCAGCCCCACAGGAGAAGGTGGGGCTGGGAGTAGGTGGGCAGCTGGAGAAGCTCACAGTATTATGCTCGTTTCCCTGCTACTCCTCCCAATGGGGAAAAGAGCAGAACCTCCCCAGCTCCACTCCCCAGCCCTATCCTCTGGCGAGCTCGGGGGGGGGGCTACTGCTGTAGAGACAGAGCTACAGGAGAGGCAGCTCCTTGGAGGGGCAGGAGGCAGGGCTAGGGCATCTGCTCCTTCCCTCCTGGCAAGACAGAGCAGAGAAAACAGCAGAACTCTGACTGCTCCTCTGGCTGCCATATCACCCTAGGAAAGGTAGGATGGGGAGGAAAGGAGAAGGGAGAGGAGAGGAGAAGAGTGAGAGAGCCTTGGGCTGGGGCAAGGTGGAGTCATATGGGAGGTCATATGGAGAGGTTATGTGGCCCCCCCTTAACTAGTGTGGCCCCTCCATATTGGGAAAAATCATTTTACTTTCACCCCTGATTGGCTGCAATTGTAGGTTCTATATTTACAAATAGATGAGAGGGAGCTTTGTTTAGTAGCTGGAGCATGTGGTTGAGTTAGTAGCCATGGGTCCTATCCAGATCTTTTCTGGATCAGACACTTGTGCCTTACACAAGACAGATTGTCCAGTTCTTAATGGACAAGTCATTACATCATGAAATCACCAAAACTGTCATTAATGGACACCCTTTCTGGCAGTCTCAGCAGAGAGACTCAAATCTGAATAGGGTCTAGAGATTAAACTCTCTTGTCACAGATTGAGCTGATCCCAGGTCTGACGTGCATAGATACAACGTGAAAAAGTCAGAACTGCTTATCCTGTGATGCAGTAGCAATCAAGGTTATATCGACACAAGCACTTTTATTGGCCACACTTTTGTCAGTAGTGAGTGTGAAAAAACACACCCCGACCAACGTAAGTTTCACCAATAAAAGTGTCAGTCTGGACAGAGGCATGTCAGCAGGAGAGTGTCTCTTACCGACATAGCTATTGCTGCTCAGTGGGCAGGGCTTAATTATGCCAATGGGACAGCTCTTTCCCATCAGCCTAGATTGGCTACACGGCAGAGTTTATAGCAGGACAGCTCCAGCATTACCTCACAAGAGCAAGGCCCTCATCACTGAGCAGCCATCAGAAGGTAAGTTTGATCACTATCACCCTGGGCTGGGTTTGAATCAGTGTTTTGAAGAACGTTAACAATTCTCTGAGCCATTCTGTCTCCTCCTTTTGAATTACTTCGTGGTTTTGGCTGAAACTACCTGAAGTCCCTGCTTAAAAATCAAATTTCTGGTTTTTCATGAAAGTGGATAAAATCACTTTTTCTCACACAAAAAGCTGGTAAGAGTCGTACAGGTTGTACCTCCCTTAACTGGGACTCCCTGGTCCGGCAACATCCGCGGTCCAGCATGGATGTTGCCGGTGGATTATCCCTAAAATGGGGAGGGATAGCTCAGTGGTTTAAGCAGTAGCTTGCTAAACTTAGGGTTATGAGCTCAATCCTTGAGGGGGCCATGTAGGGATCTAGGGCAAATTTGTCAGGGATGGTACTTGGTCCTGCCACAAGGGCAGGGGACTGGACTAGATGACTTCTCAAGGTCCCTTCCAGCTCTATGAGATGGTAGATCTCCATATATTATATTATATTATTATTATGTTCCTAGATCACAGAGTCCGGGAACAGGGAGGTCTGGCAGCAGGGCAGGAACATGTTAGGGGGCACTGGCAACCCAGTGTGTGTAGGGAGGATGGGAACAGGTGGCACAGCAGGGAGTACTGGCCCCAGCAACTGCTGTGGAGCTCCGTCCCCAGCAGTGGCCAGAGATCTCTGTTCCCGGCCACGGAGTTCTGGCCCCAACCCTCCGTTCCAGCCCCAGCCGCAGAGCCAGGTAGCTGTGCAGCTTTGGCACTGGCCATTCAGCTTTGGCCCTGGCCATAGAACTAAGTAGTTGCACAGCTCTGCCCCGGCCGTGGAGCTCTGGCCGTGGTGCTCTGCCCCGGCAGCAGTGGGGCCAGCAGCAGCTAGAGAGCCCCAGAGGGCTGGGGCAGCAGCAGGGGCAGGCTGGAACCCTAGTCTGATGGCATCACAGGCCAGGAGGGGAAGGACCTTCCCTGGTCTGGCATATCCCCTTGTTTGGGATCAGTCAGGTCCCGAAGGTGCTGGACTAGCAAGGTCTAACCTGTAGTTGTTCTAATGGTTCTATAATTTAATCTGCCAATTTTACTGTTTTATATAAACAACTACTTATTGTCTACAACTAATGTACCAGTGTGACTCAGGAGAGAGATTATATTTGCTGTGCAGCACTGGCCAGATAAAAGGGGGAGAAGAGTATGATGAGCAGCACACTGTGAATGACCCAAAGAGGGCATCCACAGAGTCCAATATTTGTGTCATTTTAATGCTGACTCCTTGTCATTTTAAAGATATTTAATGGAAGCATCAGCCAGCCCATTGTACAGCAGATGACAATAACTGCCAGCAGATTGTGTTAAAAAATGCTGGTCCTTAATAGGTGGTCTTTGCTGGATGGTTGTTTTTTGGGGTTTGGCTACACAGGAGTCCTTAATATTTGTCTACAGTTAAAGTGAAATCCGGACTAGAACATAATCTCCCTTATACCTTTGAACTTGAAGGAAATCTGGATCTAGGTCTGTATTTAACAATCCAGGCTCATCTCTCATTTAGGCTACACCTAGACAGCGGCGCTATTTTGGGATACCAGAAGTATCCTGAAATAGCTATTCTGCATCTTTAAATGTGCCTGTTATTTCACAATAGATTTTGAAATAATGGGTGCGCTATTCTGGCGTAAACCCTCATTCCACGAGGTTAAGGGATGTTTCAGCATAGCACAAATTGTGTAGTTTGTTTTGAGGTAAGGGTGCAGTGTAGACCCACCCTTAGTTACATAGGATAAATGAAGATTTCATTGATTACAGTTGGGGCTTTCAAATGAGTCTCTGACACTTAGCCCCTAATGACTTGCAATAGTAATTTTGAGTGCCTCCCTCCCTAAGATCCCTTTGAAAATCCCAGCCTAAATCCTTTCTAGGCCAGCAGAATAGCAAGGAAGAGAAAATATGCTTCCTAGGCTTGATCTACATAACAAAGTTAGAGGAATGCTTTCAAGTATGGGAGGATCCTTAATGGCCTGGATATACAGACTGTGAAGACAACTTTGCTGCTCTACTAAGCAGGAACACATTGAATCTTTGCCGATTAGCATGCGTTGCTAATCACATTCCATCACTTGGCTAGTTGTGGGACTATGATTGATATGAGCCCTAATCAGCAGACTAAAGCTATGTCTACACTACAAAGCAAAGTTGGAAAAAGATACGCAAATTACAAACAGCAATTTGGTATCTTTTTCTGCTTTTCTTCCGAAAGAGACTTTTCTGACATTTGGCCCATGTACCTGGGGCCAAACGTCAGAAAAAAAAGCTCTTTCAGAACATCCCTTCTTCCTCGTGAAATGAGGTTTACAGGGATGCCCACAAAACGCATCTGCTTTTCTGACTTAATTTTTTTTTTGGAAAAGCAGACGCATTCCTTGGATACGGTAGAGCTTTCCAGGATCCCAGAAAAGCTCTGTAGTCTAGACATACCCTAAGACTCCTTTGAGATGGGGTGTACAGAACAGCGCATTAACAAAAGTACTGTGAGTCATCAACCCCTTTGACAATCAGCCCACTTATTTAGGTGCACAGATATGTATGTAGGTGTCCAAATTCAGGCATCCATCTTTTCAACTGCCATACTTAGTTTTGAAGCCCTGATTCAGACACACACATGCTTAACAATACTTGACTTTTTTTCTGAATGGTGAAGGACTGAATCACTTCCTCTGTGCTTTGCTGAATTAAGGTCTGTGCAGATAGCATGAAATGGGTTTAAAGGCATGTCTACTATACCTGTACCAACAGCAGCAGGTTTGTATCTGGTAAGGGTGACTTTAGCTTCAGTGCTTGCAGTAACTCTAAGATGACACTACGAGACAAGTAGAACTTATCTCTTTCCTAAACCAAAGAAAAAATAAAATAACCGAAGATGTCTAGAAATTCACCAGAAGTGCACTGATATCAAATCCTGAACCACACAGTACCCACATTCTCAATTTGTTTTTCATTTGTTTTAATTGAGATATTTTTAAAATTAATTAAGAGAAAAGAAACACAAAGGCATACCTTTCTCCTTGTCTCACAAGGAGAAGCATTCAAATAATGCACCAGTCATTTGTACAACACAAACACTGAAATCAATGGAAAGACTCCTATTGTATTCAGTGGATTTTGCATCAGGACCTGTATGAATATTTGTATAATTTACATGTACAGATAGGTTAAATTATAGATCTTATACATATAAAGCTACATGGTTAGATCTAAAGTAAAACATGGAAGTCAGTAGCTAGGCAGAAGAACAAAATTAGTACTCCACTAATGTAGCATATGTCTTTAATTAAGCCTATCTTAAAAACTCCACGTGATCATGAATTCTGTTGTTTTTCCCGCAAAATGAGTGTTTCCACTAAGCCAGCTCAGACATCTATACTGCCTTCATCAGTTCAAGCCAGTACTTTTCCACATTCACAGTAAAACCCTCCTAGCTTCTGCTAGTGGAAGAGAAACCCATTTTAAAGCATGAGAGAAAATGAGGAGATAGAGATTAGAATCTGTAGACCAAGAACATGAATTCTGGAAATGAGATAGATGATGAGATTAGACGAAGCTGTCACAAATCTCAATCTGATATCTTCTGACTTTAGGGAATAGGATAGGTGGAACAAATTTGTAAATTGTTATTGAAGCTAACAACTCAAGGGGTTTTGATCACTAATGTGTATTTTGAGGGAGAATTTTCCTGTAAACAAAGCAGAGAATTTGGGGTTCTGTTCTTAGCTCTGTCCTTGGTGTCACTGAATCCTTGATTCTGCAAACACACAGGCTACGTCTACACTGGCCCCTTTTCCGGAAGGGGCATGTAAATTTCCCTAGTCGTCGTAGGGAAATCCGCGGGGGATTTAAATATCCCCCGCGGCATTTAAATAAAAATGTCCGCCGCTTTTTTCCGGCTTTTAAAAAAGCCGGAAAAGAGCGTCTAGACTGGCCCCGATCCTCCGGAAAAAGTGCCCTTTTCCAGAGGCTCTTATTCCTACTTCAAATCCTACTTCAAAGTAGGAATAAGAGCCTCCGGAAAAGGGCACTTTTTCCGGAGGATCGGGGCCAGTCTAGCCGCTCTTTTCCGGCTTTTTTAAAAGCCGGAAAAAAGCGGCGGACATTTTTATTTAAATGCCGCGGGGGATATTTAAATCCCCCGCGGATTTCCCTACGACGACTAGGGAAATTTACATGCCCCTTCCGGAAAAGGGGCCAGTGTAGACGTAGCCACAGGGCTTGTCTATGCTACTATTAAATCAATGTAATTGACATCAATTGGGGGTGCAAAAAAACCACAAACCCATGAGCAAAGCAAACTATATTGACCTAAATGCTGGCCACACCAGTGTTATGTTGGCAGGAGACACTCTCCCACTGACACTGCTGTCACCTCTCACTGAGGTGGAATAATGATGTTGACAGGAGAGCGCTCTCCCGTCAGCATAGCGCATCTTCACCAGACATGTTACAGCAGCGCAGCTGCATTGATGCAGTGTAATCTAGAGTAGACTTTACACACATGATCAGTTTTTTGTACAAGACTAACCTGATTGAAGTCCACAGGATTGCTCATGTTAGTAAAACTTATAAACACACAAAAGGATTCACTGAGCCTCAGCTTTAAGCTCCGTATGGCATCTGTAAATGGATATAAGTAATATTTGCCTCTACCATACGAAATTCCTTTGAGGTTTCATTAACCAGCAGCCATACAAGGTAGTAAGTTCAACTGAGAGGGAAACCAGATGAATGAGCTGGGAACTAAGAGTCTTGGCTCTGCCTCAACAACACGCTAGGCCAAATAGCACCTCCTCCCAACCTTTCCAGTGGAGTAGGAACAACATTCACAACAGGAAAGCTGGCCAGTGCATGACAGTTCCATACCACAGCAACTTTCAAGGTTGCCAGATTTGTTTTCATTCCTCATTGGAACAAAACCAAAACTCTTTGAACATGTTAGTGAACAATGGCATTGCACTGAAATGTCTGTGTTTGATTTGGGAAGAGGTGTCAAAACATAAGAGGTGTCTGTCCTGGAGGGCTGGGCTCAGGCCTCAGTAGCCTGGGGTACAGGAGACCAACATTCAATTCCCTGCACTGTCCACTTCAAAGGAGAGTTTCTCATCCCAGATCCCTTTAATTCAGGAAAAGCAAGGACTTGAAGCCAAGCCTCCTACATCAATGAGGCTAGAGAGCACAACAGACCTTTTCTCTTAACCCAAATTAAACTTCTGGTTGAAGCTAAAACATTTTGGCATTGCCAAAACAGCATATTTTGATCATATGAAATAACTGAAAATGTTCTGACCAGTTCATTGCATTGTTACCTTTCTCGACACAAAAGTGGTCCCACCCCAAATCATTACCACTAATAATAATTTAAAAAGAAAAGAAAAACTGTAGCAAATAAATCAACTATCATCAACAAACCAAAAATATCCTAAGCAAAGTTTCTAACCATGTAAAGGAAGCAGACCAAGAGACTCCAAAAATTGGACTAGGGGATTTGCTACTGCTACTGATTTTATTTGTTAGGCATTCAGATACTATAAGTAATGAGCAGCATCATAAAACCCTGCAATAAACATACAAAGAGCACTTTGCTAGACACCAAAAATCATGGACGAAATAGAGACACTGATTTATGGCTTATTACTACAATTTGTAGGCCACAACACACACACCCCTTTGGTCTTAGAACTGCAGGTGCATTTATGGACCACTTCACCTTGAATAGTCCCTCACAATTTGTGCTAACTTCTCATGCTAACCTATCTGTTTAATCTTGTATTTAGCTGTGACACCTGCAGTACTTTTCCCGACCCCAAGAAGAACTTTGTGGGGCTCAGAATTGTCTCTCTTTCACCAACAGAAGTTGGTTTGATAAAAGGTACTCACCCATCTTGTTTATCTAAAGCTCACTTCAGGCAGTGTATGCTGCTCTTGATATAGACCTGGTACAGCTCAATCCCTCCACAGAACAGTGTGGGAGTCACAGTCTCTGAATCTCAATCTCCCTCCCAAGCTATCCTAGGAATACTACATCAAAGTGCTACCCTTTACGCAGTGCGTATTTTTATCTCATGCTCTCCATGTTTGTAAAGCACATTGTGAAGTTTTTTCAAAAGAAGTGGCCTTTTTTGGAAAAAACTGTACCTGCATTTAGACTGCCGCTGTGTTCTTGTGAAATTAAATTGAAAGAAAACGTGGTGGTTTTTTCGATATTGGTAAATGAAAAAGAACGCCTTTTTTCTTCAAAAGAGCTCTTGTGAAAGAGCTCTTTTGAAAAAAGGCATTCTTGACCGCAAACAGGCCTTTTTCGAAAGAGAGCATCCAGATTGCCTGGGTGCTCTCTTTCGAAAAAGCGGATCGCTCTTTCAAAAGACGCTTTTTCGAAAGAGCTCTTTCAAAAAAATCCTCTTTCGAAAGAGGCTTGTAGTCTAGATATACCCTTAGGCTACGTCTACATTGGCCCCTTCTCCGGAAGAGGCATGTTAATTTCCAACTTCAGAATAGGGAAATCCGCGGGGGATTTAAATATCCCCCGCGGGATTTAAATAAACATGGCCGCCATTTTTTTCCGGCTTGGGGAAAAGCCGGAAAAAAGCGTCTAGACTGGCGCGATCCTCCGGAATAAAGCCCTTTTCCGGAGGATCTCTTATTCCTACTTCCTACTTATTTCCCTATTCTGAAGTTGGAAATTAACATGCCTCTTCCGGAGAAGGGGCCAATGTAGATGTAGCCTTAGTGTCTGAGCCTCTTCTGCAGTTGTCCCCAATGTTTTAGGGCTGCTGGGTGCCTGGGGCCGGGGCCACTCACGCGCTGCACATATGGGGGCGGGGCCGCTCACAGGCCTGGGGGCAAGGCCAAGCATGCACCGCACGCCCGGGGCCGGCACCGGCATGTGCTACGACCCCGGGCAGGGGCTGCCCAGGCACCGTGTGCCCGGGGCCGGCACTGGCATGTGCTGCAACACCGGGCAGGGGCCGCCCAGGTGCCGCGTGCCAGGAGCTGGCACCGGCATGTGCCGCGACCCCGGGCAGCGACCGCCCAGGTGTCGCGCGCCCATGGCTAGCACCGGCATGTGCCGCGACCCCAGGCAGGGGCCGCCCAGTGCCACACACCCGGGGCCGGTACCGGCATGTGCTGCGACCCCAGGCAGGGGCTGCCCAGGTGCTGTGCGCCCTGGGGCTGGCACCGGCATGTGCCGTGCACCCGGGGCCAGGGCCGGCACCGAAATGTGCTGCGACCCTGGGCAGGGGCCGCCCATGCGCCCGGAGCTGGACCTGCCGCAAGCCCGGAGGCGGGGCCAGCCCAGATTGTTCTGCGGGCGCACATAAATGGCCCGGCGGGCGCCACGGCGCCCGCAGGCACCATGTTGGAGACCACTGCTCTTCTGCATGAGTTAAAAGCCACGTGCCTCTTAGCCAAGGCTGCAGCAAACTCATCCACCTTTTAGATGTGCTAGGTGCCACTAGAAGAAGACAGAATGTCACACCACACAGGCATGAGTTGTGCAGACAAAGCAAATATACTTTGGAGAGCTTCTATCATTTGGAGATGCATCTCTGAAATAACAATGAGAAGCATGCTTCAATAAATCTGTTAATCTATACGGATATGTCTAGACTACATGCCTCTGTCGGCAGAGGCATGTAAAATAGGCTACCCGACATAGTCAATGAAGCCGGGATTTAAATATCCCCGGCTTCATTAAAATAAAAATGGCCGCCGCGCTGTGTCGGCTCAGCTGATTGTCGGCACAGCGCATCAGTCAAGACGCAGACTGGTCGACAGGGAAAGCCTTTGTCGACCGCTCTCTTATGCCTCATGGAATGAGGTTTACAGGAGCGGTTGAC